GTCTCACTCTGTCACCCAGGCTGGAGTGCAGTGGTGCGATCTCAGCTCACTGCAACCTCCACCTCTCAAGTTCAAGTGATTCCCCTGCCCCAGCCTCCTGAGTAGCTGGAATAAAAAGCATACCACCATGCCCAGCTAATTTTTGTATTTTCAATAGAGACGGGATTTCACCGTGTTGGTCAGGCTGGTCTCGAACTCCTGATCTCATGAACCACCTGCCTCAGACTCCTAAAGTGCTGGGATTACAGGCGTGAACCACCACGCCCGACCTGCATTTATTTTTTAAATCTTGCCCACTCAGCATTAAAATTGTGCAGGGGACAAGTTCTTAACCTAGACTACGGACTGTGAGGGAGGACTTCAGAATTCCTTAGGGATTAGGGGCCTGGAGCATTGGGGCTCCTACATCCAAGAATAAAGGGCTAGTCACTGGGATTCCACATAGCAATTTGAGCTTCCAGGAGATAAACAGGATCCGTTTCTGATTTCTGGAACCCAAGGGGTGGGACTATGGCCAAGGACTCTCAGATCCCAGGCAAGGCAGGAACTGTTGAATGGAAAACAGGTGAGGGCCGTACCTGCAAAGAAGCAAACTCGCCAGAGGCCGGCGTGCAGGGCCATCTTGACTTCGGTGGTCTGGTTCTGCGGCAGCACTGTGCCCTCTTCCATGTACAGCCAGTAGTCAGTGCTGACCGCGATGCCCACGAGGAGCAGGCCACAAGCACCAAACACGCTGCTCAGCAGGGTCAGGGCGCGGCTGCTGCAGTGACTCATCCTCAGAGGCAGGGGGCGCCCTGCGGGGCCTGTGGGAGGGAAGCTGCAGTGCAGAGCTCCAAGGGACCGACCAGAGACAGTGTTCGACCCCATGCGGCAACTGGGGATGCTGGGCCCCAGCCAGGGACACCAACGCCCAAATCAAACTCTCTCAGATCTGACCTCTGTGTCCTGACCCATGATCCCAACCCTGGACTCTGACCAGAGACACCAACTGTTGAGCCTCAACATCAAGACTGGGCTCCCCAAACCTGCTGCCTGTGCTCTGGCTCCAGAGGCGATCTCCAACCCCAGAATTCGATTTCTAATCATAACTTTCAGCCCAGACCCGGAGATTGAATCTTGGCTCCAACCATGGCTGGACCTGGGTCTCAAATATTGTGACTCTGAGCAGAAATTCAAATTCAAGATTCTCAACCCCAGAGAATTGTTTGGGCTCCCCCCATCTGCCCAACCCTAACCTCACCTGCTGACCTGAGACCCTAACATAGAAATCAGATGCCACCAGAGTCCCTAACCTTGAGTTCGGGTCAGTGACTCAGAAACTGTTAGGCAGATCAATGATGTCACCTCTAGGACCTGGCATCCTGCAGCCCTGCCTCTGTGCTCTGATCGAAGCCCCCAGTTGTGAGCACCAGACTCCAATGAGAATCAATAACCTCAATTCTGAGCCAGGACTTACATCCCAGAGCACAGGGTATTGGGCGTGAACCCTGGATGCTCTCCAACTTGAGCTGGCCAGAAACTCTAACCCAGGCTACCCAGTCTGAAGTCCATGCCCTAATCTAAAACCCTGCACCTTGTCTCTGAACTGCACCCAGAAATCTGCAAAGTGGGTCACCAACCAAGGATCTCCAGTACCATACCAGGGCCTCACACCCTTGACCTCAGGCCCACCTAAGACTTTGAGCAGAGCCCCCCCCCCCACTTCAGTTTAACTTCTTGGATTTGTATCTTGAGCCTAACATCCTATTTGAACACCAAGAACTTGACCCATGACCTTCTAACTCTGATCTTGTGCCTTGACCTCATTTGATACCCCAATCTACGATGACATTGTACAACAGAGATCCTAGCTCCAGAACCCTAATTCTACCCTCCCATATCTAGGCAGGCCCCTGAACCTGGAATGCTGGAACATCTTCACAGGCTGCTGAGTCCCAGAACATTGGAACCCGGAGACATGGTACCAGAATCTCGATTAGAGATTCCAGAATGTCAAAATCACGAGCTGGGGCTTGGCGTGCTGATACCTGTAATCCCAGCACTTTGGGAGGCTGAGGCAAGTGGATCACTTGAGGCCAGGAGTTCGAGACCAGCCTGGCCAACATGATGAAACCTCATCTCTACTAAGAAATACAAAACTTAGCCTGGCGTGGTGGCTCACACCTATAATCCCAGCTGCTCGGGAGGCTGAGGCAGGAGAATCGCTTGAACCTAGGAGGTGAGGTTGCAGTGAGCTGAGATTGTGCCATTACACTTCATCCTGGGTGACAGAGTGAGACTCCATCTCAAAAAAAAAAAAAAATCATGAGCTAGACCCCACCACCACCACCAATAATGCAGCATCCTAATCAAAGCATCCAAGTCAAACAATGATCTCTCATCCTTCCAACTAGGATTCAGTGCCCTGAACTCTAAAATCCTCTTCAACATCCAGTGTGGAGCCCGAATTTCATAACACTAGACTTCAAACAGTAGCTCCCCAGTTCATATCTGTAACATCCCCAATTCCAATTAGGAACCTAGAAATTCCAACGAGGGAGCTCCTCAACCCAGAACTCAAGAACTTGAAATCCCTTACCCACTATACTCCCCTGATCCCTGCAAGATCTTTCCCCAAGCCATGCAATCCTATGACTTGGGGGTCTCAACTTGGGACCTTCAGCCTATATCAACCAGAGACCTTACATCCCTGAATACCTGGGATCTTTCTAACTATGAAAGTTGAGACCCCTAAACATTCTCCCCAACAAAGTAATCAAGACATACAACGCCACTTTCCTTAACCAGAATTCTTCTAGCCTTGCAACTCTGCTCCACCTGAATAAAGACTCTGGAGTCTGAGAAGACCCTCCTCCTCCCCGCTCCACCCCGCACTTCCAGCCTCCAGCTCCCCACTCCTTCCCCCCTAGGCTCCCGGAGGCCTCCGAGATCCGGAGTCTGGGAACGCTGTGGCCAGCTTTTCCTCCCATCCCCCGCCTAGCGGTTCAGGGGCTTGACCGCGAGCCGCCTGCTCCTCTCCCAGCCCTGTGGGCTCGGAACCGGGCGCCATCACCCCGGCCACCCTGGCTGCCTCCAACCCAGGTAGCCGATCTCAGCTTCCCCCTTTCACTCCTTTGACTCCCAGCTGGGACCCCGTCCCTTCTCCACGTTCTCGCACCCCCTTTTAAAGCCCAATCTTGCTCCAGTTCCTCCTCACTCTCACTGACCTGCCCAGATCTCCTTATTCCTCCAGGCTTTCCTCCTTTGGGACCCTCCCCACAGGCCTGGAGCCTCCTTTTCTCCCACCCTTTCCCAGATTCAGGCATTTGAATCTCCAGGCTCCGGTTCTGCAAGTCCTAAGCCCAAACTCCACCTCCCTTCCATCTCTTGGGAGACTTAACTCTCCCTTTGCGGAGACCCCTTCCCAGACCCACACACCCAGCTCTGGCCGGGCCTGGGTCCTCCGCCGTCGCCCCGTACTGCCTTCCTCAAGGACCCCGCCTCTGCCCTCCCCAGCCCACGGTTGCTGCGACTCGGACGTGAAGAGTGCAGTTTCCCACTCCGGGACCCTGGGACCCCGTCCTCCCGCATCGCCAGGCCCGGATGTCCCTGCATCCCCCGTAGCCGCTCGAATTCGGGCGTCCCAACCTCCAGGATCCCACCCCTGGAGCCACTCGGGTCCCTGGTCTCCCCTACCCCGGCTAGCAGCCACCTCGAGGGGCGCCCCCTCTTCCTCCCAGGACCCTCCCCTCGCGCGCTCACCTCGCTCAGGGCTGGGCGGACGCTCCGGGCCGCGGGCCCCGCAGCCGCATGACCGGCCCCGCGGCTTCCCCCGGCCGCCGCCGCCGCCAGCGGGGTCGCCGGTGCCCGCGCCCCCC